ACTCTTTCCTAGCCTGGCATTTGTCTATTTTTTTAATGATGTCTGCAGTTATTGTGATCCAGTCTCGGGTGGGTCCAATAAAAAATATAAGCTTTTGCTTCTTTCCTGCAATTGAGTTGCATTTAAATAAATAAATAAACACATAAATAAATAATAATAAAAACTATCCATCCTGAATTAAATTTAGATATCAGGGAAGGAGCAGTGATACAGGCCTTACAAACAAAGATGAAATGGAAAAGTCAACACAAGCTAGTAGCTGGTGCTTTCCTTGGGTTTCCACTGTGTTGTTCTCAGTGATATTTATTGGTAACGTACAATTCTCGTATATTTTTCAGACTATAATAAAATAGTAAGTAAATATTTTGAATAATTTTTCCTCTCATTTCCCCCAAAATCAATTACAGTTCTGCAACTGAATTTAATTGAAGAAGGATAGGTCTTTTAAATTAGATCTCAACAGCAAACTACAATGGAATTTGTTATCTTTGTGAAAGGAATCTATGGCTCTTTCTGGCTAATTTAGGAATGGATCGTAATTCATATGTCACAGAGGTTTTTGAAAACCATGTTCTAGTAATATTTCAGCATCACGTAAATGATTTATACATGTAATTTATCTGCACTCAAATAAAAATATCCAACTAAAGAAAATGACCAAGTGACTAGGGGTTTTAGCAAGTAAATATTTAAAAAGAAAAAAAAAAGAGAGAGAGAATAACTTAAAATACTGTGGTCACTTATGATTACATAACTGCTGCCATGGTGAACCAGCCATATGTGGAGTTCTGGCTCTTCTCTGTTTTTAGTGAGCTTAACTTAAGCCACCGCTAATGACATTGCTTTGGGATGGGGACATATGAAGAGCATTCACAAATAATTACTAGTGCTTAGCAGATGGGAAGCACAATTCCGTGAAGTATGTGACTATACCTTGAGTATGTATTTGAGTATACCTTGAGTATATTATACCTTGAGTATAGCACATCTTCAGTGTCTCACCGATAAAAGGAAAACATGCCAGTATTAGCGAGATCCCATTTTTCTGGACATCCGAATGTCTCTATATTAATCAAATGTAACTAAAGATTGCTTTACTGTTTCTCTTGTATTGAAGAAACTTGTAACAAAGGCTAGATGGGATGGAATGTAATATGAATGACAACAAAATCTGGAGAATGAGCACAAGAGGTAGTCAACTTGCTTACAGATTTTGTTTAATAAAATCACCTTCTTATTCCATAAGATTAATGTTTGAGTTTTGTCATCTGGATTTCCTATGCTATGGGTTTAGTAACATCCACATCTTCCATTTTCTCCTTTACAGGATTGTGGTGCCCTTCGTGAAAACTTGTCTCATGGTGTTGCCTTCAGTGCAGACTGTATGGAAGAGCCTGACAGATGTTTTTATTGTACCATTTTTTCATAGCATAGGCCGATGCTTTGCCATGGTTAATATACGCCTGGATCGAGAGTAACTGTCAGGAATGTGACAACTGTGATGGCATGTACTTGCAGAAGGTGTTAGACCTCTCTGTTAATGTACCACACAAACATTTACTGCTCGTTCCAAACTGTCACAACTACAGTGGCTGGTTTAAGTGGGAACATACTATTTTTCATTTATTTTCAGGGATCAGCTTAAGATAAAATTCGGCAGTTTTCATATCTCACTATTTTAACAACAGAAGGACCACGGAATACATTGGCAATGCTTTATTTTAATGGCACATTGATTGGTAGAATACAGAAGAATTCTCATGAGGGTTTAATAATTATTAGAGTGATAATGTTTTAAATTGCTATGACTGGGGTTATTGCTATAAATATTCAGATTGGTAGGACACGATACTTTGGGTGACACTGATCTCCAGGGTTTCACACTGACTACTGGATTCCACCAGAGATCATTCTGGCCCTCGGCATGATGTGCTCAATTATTATTTGCAGCAGGTAGATTTAATGCCATTAATTGCGTGCTGCTTACGGAGAAGCAACCTGTTGTGTAACTCTTCCATAATGGGGAAAAGCTCCCCATAATAAGGTGTTCGCTAATGATTGGAACATCAGCTAATCTGTATATTTTATTTAATGTATATTTTGTACGTATGTAAATGGCACTTGATCATTAGTCTTTGAAGCATTATTTCTATAGTATTTGTATTCTAACAAACTTTCTCGGCATAAAGAATGACACCTGCAAAAAATACCTAACAAATTAAATAAATAAAATTTAGTTTATAAATTATGCAGATTTTTGAAGTGTTGCTGTGCAATTCTAGTATATCCTTTATATATAGTTGTGTGTAAGAGCAAGATTTTAAGTGTTTTCTTAAAAGACTATGCAAAAGAGTTGGAAATATCTGTTTATGAGAATTGTTTTTTATTAAAGATGGGCTGCAGTAAACGCAACCCTGCCTATTTCTGTGTATTATCATCAATATTGTGACATATAAAATGATAGACACTATGCAGGCACTTTAACTAGATAGCAAGCTCTAATATAAGGCACATGAGTGTAATTGGTAACCTTGTCTGATTCTCCTCACCTACTGACCTCAATCTCCATGTTGCTTTTTTACTACTTTAAAGCCTAACCCATAAAGAGCCCTTCTTCCTTCTGCACTTAAAAGAACTTTGTAAAGCAGAGTAACAGAACATTTGCAGAGGTACATTAAGATTACTTTAGCCTTCTGATGGGTTTATGCTGCTGTTTTATTTAAATACTGATTATAAGCTGCAATTGTAAAATGTTTGTACCATTTATTATGTTACTTTCTAAAATGTCACAGATTTCTTATCAAATGAGATGTGTAATAAAAAATAAAATTTCAGCTTTTTCATATTTTCAACTTCATTTTTTCAGCCTCTTCAACTTTTTTAAAGCCCTTTAAAGTGTAGAGCAGCATAGAATACTATGCATTTTTTTCCAAAATACAAAATAAGAGATAGAAAGGAAAGAGCATCAATATAATTCCACTGTTACCAATTGCATGCAACTTATTTATATTAGAAAGTGCAGTATCTTTCTGTGCTGGATTAAACCAAGCAGAATGTTTTCTCTGAAGCAGGTCACTCAGGGAGGAATTTTGGCTACATTCATGAAAAAATGCTTAATTCTTTTTAAAGGACTCATGCTTTATTTATAGATGAGCTGCAAAATTTTCCTTTTCATACTCTACAGAAGGTAGCTAACATTGCATATTCTTTGTACATTAAAAACATGTTTCCCATTTGCGACATTCAGGAAGGGTTTCATATGGTTTTTAAAGCTGAATCTTAACAATTAGTGCCCAGTGAAACTTTAGAGCTTTTTTCTTCTGCAAGAAATTAAACTTACTTTTCAAGTACACTCTTCAAAGTATCTTTGTTCTGTCAAAAATGGGAATATCTTTTTGGAAAATTAAAAAATGGTCAGGCTTGAAGCTTTCAGGAGTTATTTTCCAAAGCCTAAGTATTTTTACAAAGATATTTTCCACACAAGAAAAAAATCCCTTAATGAATTACATTTTTTAAAAAAAAATCAATTACTGCTAGTGCTTGCCCCTAAAACAAGTCCTATAAAAAGCTTAGGCTTTGCAGGAACTCCGGTCTGAGTCCAAACTTTGAGGCTGAGGCTAAGGCTATTCCCTAGGGGAAAATACATCACTCTAGGTTGTGCACTGCTGAATATATGCATTTTTAAATAGCTTACTGATGTCATCCCAGCTCTAGCTACCACAGAGAATCAAGTAGAATGACTTATTTTGTTCTTATGTTGATTTGGGCCTTTCCACTTACTATTAATTGACTTTTTTAATCAACTTTTTTCAATTTGCTATTAATTGATTCTTTTCATCATTTCTCTAACTGCATCACAAGACTAAAGCAAGCTTGCAGTGAAAAATATCTTACTGAATAATGAAAGCTGTTAGTTTCCTACCAGCAGTAGTAGTACAGTTTACAGCAGTATCTCTCTATGAAATAGATGTGCTTTCACTAGAAGAAAATACCAAACTGGCTTTTATGCTTACAGGAGGAGATTTGGTAGATACACTTAATTCGTCCATGAAAGGGAGTGAATATACACACACTTTTCAATACATAGGTGTGAAGCCGCCCCAGGCAATGATGGCTAACAAATATTCACTGCTTTTTATGGGTTCCACAGTACTGGCACACATCAAAAAGTGTTGCCACAGTGTCAACAGTCAGTAGCTTATAGTGCTGTTGAACAACAAGGACTGAATGGGCATTGACACTGAACCGTGTTCTTACATGTACAGACAGATTCCTTAATTTTGGCTGTTCCTTCCAAACTGAGAGTAAATCATACCAGCTGCTGCATTAACAACAACTAACACATGGAAATTTGGCAAAAAAGTAGGGTTCTGAGGAGAATTCAGTATAAAAGTGTGAGATGTTCAGATTGCACCTCCTGTTACCACAGATTTTAGACTTATAACCTGTTGTGCAGAATTATTTATGCAGTTATGATTTTTTTCCAGGGAAGAACAAGTAACATAGGAATTAACCTCAGAATTGTCTTTATATTTTTTTCTCATTTTGAAACAAATTTAGCCTACTTCCTTATGATAGCTATTGAATAAAATCCTTTCAGTGTGACTGCAGAAGTTTTATAGTAACATCTTATTTTTCCTCACCTTACTTGTTCACTATATAAAATCTTAAAAATTCCTAACTGAAACTTTGACACAGGAGTGAAGGAGGAGACTCTTCACAGCTATCCAAAACCTCACTTACTTAGGCATGACCTGATTGTAAAGTTCAGAATATCCCTGCAGCTCTGGGACTCAGACCACACACTCATATTTGGTGGAAGCCAAAGAATAGGAAGTGAATTATTTCCACAGGGTGTGATCTTTCCCCCACCTGCAGAGATAAAACTATTGCTAAAATGCTTTAAAAGTACATGGAAAAAATGTATGTTTTTGTTTTTTTTTAAAAAAAATGCAAATGGAACAAGGTCAAACACCAGATACTTTCTACCAGTGTTGTCCATTAGTACACTATGCACTTGGAAACCAGAGCCAAAAACCTCCGGTGAGTGCACAGAATCAACATGGAATAAAATCTAGAGACTGACACTTTTATTTCAAATTTAGAGAAAAGCTTGTCTATTTTTCCAACTGCCTGAATGTCATAACAGCTACTTTTCTTCCCCATGTACTTGGCCTCTATTTTTTTCTTTTTACTATCATAGCTATTATAATACTACAAATAAAAGTGAGGATTGAGCATAAAAGTTTTAGACAGCTAAAAAGAAAAGACCTGTCCTAAACCTCAAGGACTGGATGTTTGAGTCCAGTTCTCACAGTCTGATATGTCTATAGGAAATCAGGCCAGTTAATAATACATTAGCCCTAGTGGAAAGATATGGAAGAGTAGTGACACTGAGACAAATGGAAATGGTCCAGCTTGCCATTTGTCAGAGAATTTGACATTAAAAAGGACTGATAAAAGTGTGATTCAAATTGCTCAAATTCGCAAAACCTTACCTCCGGGTGACAGAATTAAGCTTTCAATCTGCTTGATTTACCAACCAAGGCTGGTAAATACAGGCTGTCCTGACCAAGATCTATAGGGACTAACTCTAATAGAAGAAGTATGTGCCTAAAGCAGGATTAAGATGGCTGTCAGCCATTTCAATCCAAAATCATAACCCCTGCTGAGCTGCCACCCAACCAGGAACATGCCCAAACGCAGAAGGCACCTCCCTTTCTCGTAATGTTTCCTCAGTACCTACAGTTTTATTTTTGGTCATGCCTAGAACTGTCCTTGCTTGAGTAACTTGGTCCCCAACTCGCACCTAAGCCCCTCAGAACCCAAAAATAAGGGGTTCCAGCCCCAGCACCCTGCCCCAGCACCCTGCAAATACCCTTGGTGCACATGAGCACTTTTCCCAGAGTGAGCCTCTAGCATATGAGGCACTAGCATTGCCTTGGAAGGCAAAAATAATCTCAGCTCTCCCACATGCAGGATTAATCTTCTAACCACCAAGCTCTTGTCAAATGTGTAGTGTTTCCCCATTTAAAAGGAAATCATCAGTTTCTAGAGGTTGTGAGAAGGGAAGAACGCGAGGTGATCTCTCCATCCCTGATAAAACTACTCCCTTGACTCAAGTACCAGACAGGCCAGAAAAAAAAAATAATTACAGGATAGGACTGTATATTTTTTTTAATTGGTGATGAGGGGCACCCACCTAAGTGAAACTGTTCAGAACCAGTGACTTAAAAATGAAAGTGCAGAAAGCTTCCTGGGCTGGAGACGGACCAACCACCATGCAAGCAGAACCCTCCAAGTCTGTAACTCATGGTGTGAGGAGGTCTGCAGAGCAGAGTGAGAAGGACACCAGATGAAGACACTCGGTCGTGCTTGTCTACTTCACTGTCATGACTCAGTTCTCACACACATTGTTGTTTGAAGAATTTCATCCAATATGATTTTTTTGTTGTTGGCTTTTTGGAAGGGATAATTCCTACCAGCAGGAGATTTTTTTTCAAAATGTGAAGAACTGCTCACAGCTTGGACATACACTG